ATTAAAGGTGTGTGCCTCCTTGCCTGGCTATTGGTATTTTCTTTTATTCTCCTGTCTTTCATGGTCTGGAACAATGATGCACTGCTGGAGTTCCAGTGCTCATTCTGGCCAAGACAGCAAAGGAAAGAGCCAGCAGAAATAGGCTCCCTCACACTCTGTGCAGGGACCTTAGACTGCATTCCTATGGACTTCATTAGAGCAAACAATTTTCAGAGCAAAATGTAATTCCTAACTAACAGCTTGTTTCTAGAAAGAACCATGCTAAAACAACAGAACCTGGAATGTGATGTCCACTTGGTAGATGAGGATGAAGGACAAATTTAAATTATCAAATATTCCATACTAGGATTTAAAACATTGCCACATGTTTTTTTTGACATGTCTCTTATTTGGAGGTGAGTTCTTTGTCCCCGGCTTGTGATGGCTTCCCCCAATAGACAGATGTCTGTGGAATCACAGCTCTGAGCTGCAGGCCTACTCATAGGCCAACTGCTGACACCATCTCAGTCTTCACCCAATGGCCATGAGGAAAACCATGGAAAGGTGCTGTGATTGACAGCTCTCTGAGCCTGTCCAACCTTCCTGGACTTCCCAGCCCAGGCCTCAGGGAAGTGAATGGAGCCATCGTTTAAAAACAAAAAAATAGGGGGTTGAGGATTTAGCTCAGTGTAGAGTACTTGCTTAGCAAGCCCAAGGCCCTGGGTTCAGTCCTCAGATTTAAAAAAAAAAAAGAGGCTATGAATTTGAAAGAGAGCAAGAAGAGGTGTGTGGGAGGGTTTGGATGAAGGAAATGGAAGGGAGAAATTATGTCAATATATTATAATCTAAAAGAAAACCCACACAGTTTATTTAGTCACTTACATTATTGTGTATGTGCATGGTGTAGGCATGTATGTGGCCATCAGAGGACTGCGCTGTGGAGTCAGCTCTCTTTTCACCTTTATGTGGGTTCCAGGGATTAAACTCAGGTGGTCAGACTCTCCCCACTGAACCATCTCACTAGCCCAAGGAGCCGTCTTGAAGTGGGTTCTTCTTTTCAGTGGTCTTCTCAAGTCACTTATGCTAAGGTCTCGAACATGGAGTGGAGAAGCTGTCCTTGATCTGCCTTCATGATCCTTGAGCCAGCAGACTCTGACCCTAATCACACAGTGGTCAATTTATGTCCTTATACTCAGAAAAATAGATAGCTGGAAAAAGCTGGGTATGGTAGCACATGCCTATAATTTCAGTACTTAGAATCCTGAATTGCTATGCATTTAAGGACAGCCTGGGCTGCATTGCAAGCTCCAGGCTAGACTATAGGCTAGAAAGATAGAGCCTGGAAAACCAGAACTGGAACAACTGGTAATTCTTCTCTTTATATAAAAGTTGAGTTCTTTTTCAAAGAAAAGAAGTTCCTATGCAGGCAGTCTAGGCCTGATTTGATAACTTCATAGTTCAAAAGTCCCAAGACCCCTTTATCTTCAGTACTGCCCAGAACACAGGCATCATGGGTTAAGCACAGGTGGTGGTGGTGATGGTGGCCAAAACACAATCTTATGAATGGCATATAAAGCTGAAAGAGACCCAGATCTCTGAGAAACACAGAACTTCAGTTTTGAGCAGCTTAATTTTAGATCTTTAGATTATAGAGTAAAAACCTCACTAGCAGATACAGGCTTAGAACACCTTTGTTTAGATCAAGGGAGAGCCGCCTTAGCTTATCTGGCACTAGAATGTTGAGTTGTTGAAAAAGAAGTAGACTGCTAAGAGTATGGAGGTGAGGGTGAGGAGCAAAGATGCAGGACCTCATAGAATATCAGCGCTAGGAGAGTAGCAGTAGTCAGGGAGGGGCTCCACCTTCCTGGGTAGAAACCAGGAGGGAAGGTATCATTAACCTGGCCTCTTTGTTCCTGCTGTTTGCACCTGATGTACCCTTGTGTACAGAGGCTATGAGAATCAGTTTCCATATGGCCCTCCCATGGGGGGCCAGAAGGGTGCTCCTTGAAGTTTGGTCACTGGTTGGCCCCTTCTTGTGTCTCAGTACCTACAGTAGTAACATGTCCCAGTTATCTGCAAGTTGGACTGGTGAGCAAGGAAGCTGTGGGCAGCAAGGGGCTCTGGGAGCAGAGACAGGCCCTAGCAGCATTCAGGTACAATAGCCCAGGAGGGCTCTGGGCATGGGACTCAGCCACCATGCCCTGGGAAAGTATTTCCATGGTTTCCCCCATGTTGAGGCAGGATAGAATGAGAGGGGAATTTTGGAGACACAAGAAAGGAAAAAGAGCTCCCACCCCAAGCATCAAGTTGAAGCCTCTAATCAGCAAAAGAACAAGAATTCCAACACAATTAACAAAGGCTTAGGGCCTTTCTCCCTTCCCAGCCACAACCTGTAATTTTCTAGGAATCTCACCGGAAATCCCATTTACAAAGAAACGACACGTATTCAGCTCCTTGTTCAATCCTAATGGCTTCTGAGTTTTTCCCTCTCCTCTTAATAAAGTAGAAACATGTTAGTATGCATGACATATTTGTGTGCATGTGCCACAGTGGATACTTTTACACCTTCATGTGAGTTCTGGAGACTGAACTCAGATGGCCAGGCTTATATGAGTTTTTGTTTTGTTTTGTTTTGTTTTTAATTTAACTTTACCTGTTGAGTCATCTTGCTGGCCCTGGCTTCTGGTTTTGCCTTATCAGATTATAATTTTATCCAGTGTGTCTCTGGAGCACCTCATGTCTCATCTTAAAAGAGGATGGGGAGGGAGAAGGAAAAAGGAGTTTCTTGGCAGCCTTTTGAGATGTAACTTGAGAGCCAATGAAATGTATACATGGCTAATGCTAGGACATGAATTGCTTACTCTCCCCTGAGGAGCCTATGGGCACATCTTACTCTCTAGGAAGAGCACACTGCCACTTGGGTATATCTTTTTTTTTTTTTTTCTCCTGGGCTCCTCTGTTGCCTAACCCTATTTAAGCCTATATTAAAATCTCCTTAATAAAAACACCAGCTGTGCTTCACAATTCCAGGTTGTTCTGAAATTCTTTCTGTGTTGCAGCTAGGAATCCAAGATTGACTTTAACCAATGTCCCTAAAGTTTAGGAAGACTCCCCAGGATGCTGAGAGTGACCATGTGGGTCTGTGACTCTGTCTCTATACTAACACAATCCAAGTTCCTGGGAAGCAAGTGGTTTCCAGCCTGCTGTGCACAAGCATGTGCTGGCCGCTGATGCAAGCTGTCATTTGTCTTCCTTCAGTCCTTCCAGCCCAGCACATGGGCAGGAAGCATCCTAGCTTGCCTCAGGTGGTACTCCACTGGCTTATGACAGCTTCATGAAAACAGAAGGCAGCAGCCACCCCAAGAGCAGGCAACAAGCTTTCTGAAGAGCTTCTAGAGAGAAGAAAGGCCAGAGAATTGTAGGGATGAGGGCAGAAGTGAGGGTAGGGGCAAGGATGGGGGTCTAGGTCAGGAGTACTCTGTAGCACCAGATAATGAAAGCAGATAGACCAACATTCACTCTCATGACCACTTTATTCTGTGCTCAAATGGTACAGTGATCTTATAAACTTCACGTGCTATGGTGAGTCCAGTGCATGGCTGCCTGCCTTCGCCTTGCAAAATGAAGGTCCTATTCTGGCTCTCTCTGATAATTCAGAGCCTGTTCCCTGTATGAGGGAGGAGAAAACAATGGCAGCCAGCTACTTCAGTGGAGAGCTAGAGGATGTGAGGGACATCCAACACACATCAGCATCATGTGTGTAGGGACCAGTTCTTCGGGCCAAGAAGCCCAACTTATCAGTGGCTCAAAGAATTCTGTGGGCTCTCCAAGGAGTCATCTGGGGGCAGGTAAGGCTGGAGGGGGTACCAGTCCCTTCGCAGTACAGGTTCTTGTCAGTTCTGTATCCCAACTGGCACTCTGCATAGCAATGATGGAAACAGGAGCCCATTTAAAACAAACAAACGAAATTGTGGAGGCAGGGCATTCATCTCTCAGCAACCAGGGACTGTGGAGGGCTCATGTGACTCAGAAAGAGAGCCTTGTCCTCCATGCTGGGCTCAATTCAGGACACATGCCTAGCTGCCCTTCAGCTTTCATCTTCTCCCCACACAGGCTCCCATTCTGTCCTTTGCTGAAGCCTGGAGTCTGGGTGTCTTTGTGTTCAGGGCTTCGCCAGAGGTTCCCCTCCAAAGCTGGTCTTTCTCAGAGTCCTAAGTACCATTCTGATGCCTCCTTCCTAGCGTTATTCTCCAAGTCACTGTATAAAAACTTAAGAGAAACCAGCTGTGGTGCTTTCTGTGATAAATAAGAAGATTCATACTTAGAAATAAATAACCCTACCTGGAAACAAGAGAGATGTCAGAGAGCATTGATGGCATTGGACTGGTACCTGTGGCCCCTTTCCCACAGCCTGCCCAGGCCTCCCTGAATGGAATCCTGGATCTTCGTTCTGTGGGTTTCTGCTGCATTCCAGCAGGGCCTGGTTTCAATGGAGCTGGATGCTTAGACCTGGTCCTGGTCCTGGTCAGATGCACACCAGGCTCTGGCAGCTGAAGAGGCATCAATGCCATGAGTTGGTCATCTGTTTGGCTTTGTTATGGCAGAGACCAGGCTTTCTCCTAATACTCTCTTCATCATAATAAAAGATAAAAATAAATCACAGGATACTGTTGACAACAAAAATTCCAAGGATACCATTACCTTAAATTTACAAAGCATTTTCCAGAGGAACTTAGAGCAGTTCTCAGTCTTCCTGGGCATTTCTCTGGTGTTGGGGGGAGGCAGAGGGGAGCCTCCAGCTCTAAGGATGAGGTCTGTTGGGAACTAGCCTTTCCGTGTAGCCACACATTGACATTCTACACTTGAGACTGTGTGGGAGCCTGTGAAAGCTCCTGGAGAGAGTTCCCTGCCAGAAATTGGAGAGAGTTTCCAGGGGTATAAAACCCAATAAACTCCTTCTGTCCTTTCTCTCTCTTCCTTGTTCATTTGTAATGTTTCACTAGAAAGCCCAAGCCAGGGAGCAGGGACAGTGGCATGTGAGGTCAGGCTTTAGGAGGCGATGCTTCTGACAACAGAAGCAAACACAGGATGAACAGAGCTCCCCAGGCCTAGGAGGGACACCGGCTCTTCATGCGTCTCTTTTCCACCGCCAATCTCACAGCCTGAAGGAGTGTGTCTTTGTTATTGAGAATGTTATACTCCGCGAGCTTCACCAGCTTGTCGAAAGCGGCCTCTGTGTACGTCAGCTCCTTGGTGGCATAGGGAGATTTGGCGCCATAGATGTTCAGCTGGCCCAGTTCCAGCTCCTCAGGACTTCGTTCTACACCTTGGGGCAGAATGATTTGCTATAGACCCTTATTATGGTAGGTTGTAAGGACTTGTTTGCACACACAAACACACTTGTATGCATGCACACTCACATGAGGACACACACACACACACACACACACACACACCTTAAAGCATAGTTTACCCATTTCAAGATTTCGAATAGCTGGATATCAATAAATGGCTAAATGACTAAAAGTGCAGGAGACCATGTTGCCAGTTCATGGGGGAGGATGAAGAAAATTCTCTGGGTTCAGACTAGAGCTAAGCCAGGCCTCCCCTTTGGGGCCATCAGAAGATTCTGTAAATCTAAAAACAGGGCTTTCATCTTTGCCCAGCTGTGGGAGCACAACACAGAGGGAGCTTACCTGGAGCCTTGTACTTCTGGAAGGTGTCGTTGATGAGTGGGAAGTAAGCCACAATGGGGGCATCAGGCTCCTGGGGATTCTCCATCAGGTAACATTCCTTGAGACTTTTGTCATCCTCCTGGATGGAGTAGCTGGGGAAGGGGATGTTCTGCGTGGTGCAATATTCACAGGTTTGCTTCAGGGGCTGTAATATCATGGGAGGACACTTAGAGCATTGCAAGCCTGGGGCTGGGTGAGCCACACAGAGTTCCTGGGTCGGTCTTCCTGATTTCTTCCTAGATAGCCCTGGTCCCAAACTGCTTTGCCAATGTGTGGTATTTTTTAGAAGAAAGCCAGGTCAGGACAAAGGCCCAGGCAGTGGGCCAGTGCCCATCCAGGCGCCAGGTGGATGCTCCTCCCAGAATGAAAACACAGAAGCTCCCTCCACCCCCACCCCGCTGCTGATGTTGATGCTGCTTCCCCTGAAGACAGACCTGGGACACAGAGGTGGCCTCCGTGAGACTGATGGATGCTGGGGCCTGGTTGCCTGGAGTCCTAATTGGCCACTCAGAGATTTTGGAAGTGACAGTGTCCAAGGGCCAGACTTTGAAAATGCACCTTTGAAGTCATAAAGAGCCCTGAGTCCCGTAACTGGCTTACTTACACGTGCCTCCAGCTAGCTAATTAGTTTTGGTCCCCTCCTCTGTTACTTAGGGATAATAGCAGCTGTGCCATCTACCACAAAGAACTGGTGCAAGGCCAGGTGAGAGCCTGGGTAGGGAAGCATGCTTGTTTATTCACAAACCTAGGTCATGATTACTGCTTTCACTCTAGTTATCTGTCTATACTTTCTTTCTTTACCAGGCTTCAGGATGGGATTGCTTCAAAGTCAACCAAAACAAAACAAAGAAACAAAAACCGAAACCCAGTTTTCTTTAAAGGGAAAGTAAATAATAATAATAATAATAATAATAATAATAATAATAATACCACCATGGTCACTTGTTTAATCATATGGAGGCCCTGTGATTAACTGAACCCTGGGATTATTTTGAAAACAAGATATTACAAACTCATCAAGATTTTTTTTTGAGCTGAAAAATGGCCATGTGCACCAGATGTTTAAAAGCAATAATAAAATTGTCATTCATTGAATTTAGCAAAGCCCAAGTCCCAGCATGTGAGAGCCAGCTGGTTGCCAGTGAGGTTTGGTCCTCTGGCCCTGCATCAAGCTGCATGACAGAAGCTGTTCTCATGCAGTCCCAGAGTGTGATAGCAGAGCATGTTCTCCTATATTGCAGCTGCTCAGGCCTCTGAGGTAGTGCCACTAGCTCTGTGGCAGCACAGGAGCAGCTGGGGTTGACATTGTTTCTGCTGTACTTGCCTTTGTCTGGGATCCCGCACAATAATTGAGGTGGATGATGAGGTCAATTTTCCTCTCTGGTCTGAGGAGGGGCGCGTAGCTGGAGTTAACAAAGAATGCGGTGTCCAGCAGGTTCAGATGCTTTGTAAACTGTGTCAGCTGGTTTGGGAAGGTGTCCAGGACTGTGTCTGAAAGTCAAGCCTTCTAGTTAACATCCTACCTGGTGCCCTGATGTCAGCTACGGTGGGGTGGAGGCGTTGATATGGCCAGAGTGCCTTCCCTGCCCGGAGGTTTTTCTCTTCAGCCTAGGCCTCTAACCTCCCACATTCTCTCTAGGACACACGGTCCTACTTCTCTGGGTGGGTTGACATGAAGCAGCATGCTTGTGTAGCTTTAGCAAGTCTTCTATGGGTTATGCATGCAAACCTGCTGTGACCCAGGTATGGAGCTTGTGGAGATGTCAGGATATAACACCCTATAAAGTAGAGATACCCACAGACCCAGAGCCATCTGCCCATTTTCCTCCAGATAGTGAGGATAAGACTAATAGGCCAGACTGAAGGCTATGGCCAAATAAAACATCAAAAATTTCCATGTGGTGGGATAGGAGGCACACTAGACCTTGCCCTGAAGTCTTGGCAAGGAGAGCTATGGGGCTGTGAGGCTGAGCTAGGCTGTACTTGCTCGAACTGCAATGGAGGCACCACTCAAAGTGAAAGGTGTCCCCAACAAGATATTGCCAAAAAGAGTCTAACCTCACTATTTGTACAGTGGGGCTAACTTCTGCAGCTGTGATTGTCACTCAGACTCTGCGTCAGTTGCTTAATTAATTCTAACATTGCCCCCTGCTGGCAGAGGCATGTTCATTTGAGCCCTCAGCCATGAATGGACTACCCATCCTTCCCCCGACACCCTTGTCCAAGCTAGCTGTGTTTCTATCCATTTACATGACCAGAGACATGGCAACTTCAATACTTATTTCTCCTTCCTCCCAACAGAGCTAGCCCGGAGGAGCACCTAGGTAGGGGTACCTTTCCACATAGAAAACTGCTTGTTCTGTAGGTAGTCAGTATGCAGTTGCATCCCATATAGGAAGTTGTGGAACTCAGACACGAAGGGCCTGTGTGTAAGGATTTCTCGGAAGGTGTTGGATAACCATGATGCTGGGATCACTACTGTGGTCTCCAAGGGGTTGGCATCATCACATCTAGGGATTTCAGGCAGGAGTGGGTCATCTTCTGTAGAGGGGAGGGATGGAGGGCAGGTTACAAAAGTTGGGGTAGCACCTGATTGCTGGAGAGTGAATCACTTTAAGTGAAGTTCACACCTTCTTTGTTCAAGCCCTGGCTCTGAACTCAAGAGGACTTAGGATAAAGGTATGAGACAAGGGTAGGGGGTGGGGGTATGGACAGGGAGAAAGGGTATACCCAGGAAGGAAGGCTCCAGAGAGGATGATGAACCCAGGAGTTTGGTTTCTCTCTGCACTCACAGATCCCTAGGACCATCAGCTCTCTGTATGTTGGAGCTATCCTTCTGGGCCTAGGGACAAGTACCACCTATAGCCACCCTATCCCCACCCCTGCCATCAGTGAAGGAAAATGCTCTAGCCTAACTGTTTTCCCTAGTCTGGATCATGGGGATGATACAGAAACAGAGACAGCAACCAGTCCCTAGTTCATGATCCATACGCTATAGATCCATTACCCAAGAGGGGAGGCCAAGCTGTCACCCACCGATGTCATGCAGTTTCTCCCTTGTCCATCTGTAGAAAAACTCCTCTGAGGTGTGGGACAAATTCCAGGCATCAAGCAGGTTCAGGGAGAAGATGCTGCTCCACAAACCTGGAGAAGCAGGGAAGCTGTGAGAAACTCCCCAGGTTCCCTGCCCCCTCACCCCGAAATCTCACTGGTCCCTCCTTAGCCTCCATGCCTACTGGCTGCTTGCAGGTGGGACAGACTCCCATTGAGCAAGTTCCATGCAATGATGGATGGTGCCAGCCCTTGGCTCTTTTTCTCCCTTCCCTCAGTGCAGGGGGGCAGGGGCAGGAGGATGCTTAAGACCCAGGTACAGCGGCGGCGGAGGAGTGGGGTGGGGGGTGGGAGTGGCGGAGGCAGCTGACAGCTGGCAAGTGCAGGCTTTGAGTTTAAACACAGCTCCATCCTTGTGTCAGTTCACACTGAGAAAGCACTTAACACAGTAAGCCTTGATACACGTAAGACTAGCTTGAAGATGGTGGTTTCTGTCCCACCTGGTCCCACAGTCACTTTGCCCCCAAAAGACTTATATTAATTTGTAAACTGTTGGCCCATGGGCTAGGGCTTCTTACTGGCTAGCTCTCTCTTAATTATTAACATATGACTACGGATCTATGTATTTCTACATGGCATTTTCTTACCCGAGGACACCAACGTGCACTATCTTCCCGTCTCTATGTAGCTTCTTCACACGGACGATGCCTCTCTACCTCTCTCCCCAGCATTCTCCTCCTCTCCTAGCCCCACCTATCTTCCTGCCTCTACTGGCCAACCCATGTTTTATTCATTAACCAGTAAGAGAAACATATATACAGAAGGATGTCCCCCATCACTAGCTCTTACTTTTCAATGTAAAATTCATACAATAATACTATGAAACAGTAGTAATAAAACTAGATATGGTGGTTCACCCTCTCTACTGTAATCCCAGTAGAGAGGCTGAGGCAAAAGAATTGACAGGAATTTGAAACTAGCCTAGGCTACATAGTAAGCTTCAGACCTACCTGAGCTACAGAGTGAGACCCTATTGTAAGTAGCTAATACTAACATATTATTTATTTAAAATTTTCATATGGACATGAAAAAATTTCTCACATGGACATGACAGGTCCAGAGAAATTAAGCAACTTTGCACAACTAACAAGTGAGGAATCAGAATTCAGGCTGAAGTATAGGTTTCAGAACCATATGTGCTCTAGACTAGGGACTCGGGGAGAGGAAGGAGCTGTGTGTTGTGCGTGGGCTTCTGTGTGGGCTTCATAGACGACATGGGACCCGAGTTAGACTTTCTAGAATGGGTTGCTTTATAAGTGAAATATAGACATCCTATCTAAATAAAAGAAGTTTAAATAGCTGTTCTGGAAGCCATAAAGATAGGCTCATTTTCTGAGGTAATTTTTAGCAGATGAGACTCTGAAGCAAAGAACAAAGACCGGATGTTACAGTAGACTCCTGCACTCTAAGGAACCAGGGAGCAAACCAGGGAGCTAGTCTAGGCTTTCCTAGTGTCTCTGTCCTTTCTGCTGATGTCCCCTCTGCCTTGTTATCTGAGGGCTGAGTCTTCCTTGGAAGTCTTCCACACTGCTGCCTGGAGCCCAACAGGTAGAAAGGCAGGGTGGTGATTTTCTAACAGCCTTCCACATCCAGGCTGCTTCTGGGCACACCCTAGATAGACCACAGGAGACCAGGGTGCTGGGAGAGGCCTGTAGGGCAGTCACAATCTGGGACTCTCCTGGATTAATGTGATGTGACAGAGTTCAAGGTTAACCAAGGCAACCAGCACCGGCACAAGATTCGCCCTGTCATTCCACTAGTCAAAGACAGGCCTGGCCAGCACTGGGACCGAGTATCCTAGGGAGTCACCTAGCATGTAGCACATCTCTGGCTCAGGAATCCTCTTCATCAGCCGCCCCATGAAGAACTCGGAGCCAAATAGTTCGGTGGGAATAAAGGCCCCATACTTCTGCATGCCCACCTCGTAGGGGGAGAACTCGAACCATTCTGCACACAGGGAGAAATATCAGTTTCAGGTTGGGGAGTCATCCACAAGCCTCCCCTGCCCCCACCCCCCTCCTCAGCCCACCAGTGCTGGCTCCAGGGCCACAGGGAGCTTGGAATTATGAGTGGCAATTCCACTATGGGACACAAGGAGGGATTTACTGCGGACAAAATAGCTCTGCAAGCTGTTAGGCTTTGGCCCCTTAAAGCTGGATGAACAGGGGCAAAAACTGACCTTTCTAGGCTTCTCTTGCGGGCAGCCTTAAAAAAAATCAATGAGTTTCATCCTTCGCTACCATCATTTTCCACTGACCCATCGGATAAGTCTGAGAAAGCTAAGGGACACAGCCTATGGGAAATTGCCTCCACTCAATGATGGAGAATTCTTCAGCTGTGAGGCACTATTTCTTGATGCAGAGATTGGCAAAGCATGTGTTGTGCCCCCCAAGAAAGGACCCGGTCCTAAATCACTAGTCACCAGTGTTACCTCTGAAATCCTGGTTGCTTACATCATCCTTGACATTGATGGTGAGGTAGATGGGCAGAGGGTTTTGCCCCTGGCACAAGGCAGCACGCTGTTCTGACAGTTTGCAGTCATTTTTCTGTAGGGACACCAGTGGTTAGGAGAGGTGGCTAGCAAGCAGTCAGTGAAATACAAGAGAACTATGTGAACCCATTTCCAGACTCCAGAGCGCCCTCCCTGGACAACTGTATAATCAGCAGTGACTCCAAATGTCAACTCTAAAATGCCCTTGGAGCATATATAACATCTGCTTGGGCTGTCTGTCAACACAGGCCATAAGCGGGGTGGGGCTGGCTCTGTGATTTAAGGCTGTGTCTTAGTGTCTCAGGATTCTCATATCTCAGGGCTAGAGGATATGGTAAAGGTAGGGAAAGCCAGCATGTCCCTCTTTTGTTGCCAGTATTTACCACTCACCACTGGAACCTGAGCAGCACCAGGAATTTTTGTCTTATTAACTTGGTGTGTTAGGCTCTCTCAAAATAGGAAGCAAATCTCTCTTCCTCCCTCCCTCCCTTTCTCTTTTCTATCCCCTTTCTTCCCCCTCTTTCTCAATTGGAGGTAGGTGACAATCTTGGCAAGCCCCAAGTCCCCAGAGTCCTATGTTGGGTTACCAGAGCAACAGGTCCCTCAGATTTGCCTAAAGTGCATCAGTCAGTGCAAATGAGGCAGACCTGAGGTCCTAGGCACCCAGCTCTGACCACCGTGGTTACCCTGTGCACAAAGACTCCAGAATCTGGCGGAATGGCAAACAGGTGTGTGGCCCAACAACTCTTGGGCCTTCTTTGAAGCAAAACAGGGTGTTTATCACAACTGGACCCAGAGATCTGAGCAATACAGAGTTGAATGTCATACAAGTAAATCCACAGACTCAGGAAAGAGCCCAGACAGCTATTACTGTCAAGGGGGCTGCCTGGTAAGGGGCTCCTGCCAATGTCAGAGAGGAAGAGCGGAGGCCTCCTCATAGCTTCCTAGCTTTGCCTCTCTCCCTCTAGCCTAGACCCTCAAAATGCTTGGACTTCTAGCCCAGAACACTTCCACGTTTTCTTTTCATCATGTGGGTTGCTATTGATTATAACAACTATAAACATTTTTTGGTGCCAGTTGTGATACTGCAAGCTTTTAGTCTCATCATGTGGGAGGCAGAAGCAGATGAATCCAAGCCCCTCTTCTGACCTCTGTGGGCACCAGGTACACACGTGGAGCACATACATATATGGAGGTGAAACACATGAACACATGAGGTGAATTGGAGCCAGCATGGTCTATATAATGAGTTCTAGGTCAGCCAAGAATACATAATGAGAACCTGCCTCAGAAATATTCTTTCCTCTTTTGAGAAGAGGTCTGTTGTTTGTTTGTTTGTTTTTGAGTCAGGGTCTCTCTACATAGCCTGGCTGTCCTAAAAGTTGTTAATATAGACCAGGCTGGCTTCAAACTCACAGAGATAGGCCAACCTTTTTCCTCCAAGTTCCGGGACTAAAGGCGTGCGCCACCACACCTGGCTTGAGATGGGGGTCTATCTGGCCTTGAATTTGAGGCAATACTCTGCCTTAATTGTTATGGTATGTACTACCATGCTCGGCTTTTACTTTTAAAATGTTAATTATTTGCTGATGGAATCCCCACTAAGGAATAGTGGGCACACTGGTCCTGCAGAACAGGACAAGAATTCCAAATCCATCTTATCTGAATCCAGAAGCAAACACCTTCCACCTCTGCCCCCAACCTGTGCTTCATCATTCGGTCAGGTTAGAGGGGTTTTCAAAGGCAGGTCAGGTTATGGGTTGAAACCACATTTTTTTTTTTTTTTTTTTTTTTTTTTTTTTTGAGACAGGATTTCTCTGTAGCTTTGGAGCATGTCCTGGAACTCCCTTTGTAGATCAGGCTGGCCTCAAACTCACACCAATCCATCTGTCTCTGTCTCCCAAGTGCTGGGATTAAAGCCATGCACCACCATCACCACCACCACTCGGCCTGGAACCACATCTTATTCTGCTCCGAATCCTCATGGCCAACATAGCTGCTGGCATGCAGGGGGTAGTTAGTTAAAAGAATGAACGAGGCTGGGGGTGGCTCAGCTATTCAGAGCACTTGTTGCTCTGGCTGAGGACCTCTGTGTGCTCTTCTCCTGACCTCTGTGGGCACCAGACACACGTGAGGTGCATATACACACATGGAGGTAAAACATTCATACACAAAAAAGTAAATCTAAGTAATATTTGTTAAATTAAAAAAATGAAAGAGGAGTAAGTAAATATTAAGGATGAGAGCTGGCCCAGTGTGGTAGCACATGGATATAATCCCAGCACTTAGAAGGCTGAAGCCAGAGAATCACCACAAGTTCAAGGCCAGCCTGAGCTACGGTGTGAGTCCTAGACTAGCTTGGGCTATCTAATGTGAGATTTATCTCAAAACAACAAAAATGAAAGTCAAGTTGTTATTGATTGCTCAGAATGTCTCATTTCCTTCTCTTTTTGACATGTATATATGTGTGGTATGTACACCTACACTTGCACATGTTTGCATGTGTGGAGGGGTGCTTGTGTACATGTGTGTGTAAGCACTCCCTTGATGTCACGTGTTCTCCCCTATTGCTTCCCACTTTATTTATTAAGGGTCTCTCCCCAAATCTGGAACTTAACAATTTCTAGCTAGCCAGTTTGCCTCAGGGATGCTGTCTCTACCTCCTGAGTGCTGGTATTATGGGGAGTTCCATGCCTGCCTGGCTTTTACATGGGTTCTGGGGATCTGAATGCCAGCCTTCAAGTTTGGGTATTTAAGCATTTGATCCATTAATCCATTTCCCCAGGCCAAAATCTGATTACCTAGCAGAGGGAACTTGTTGGAAGATAGTATGCTGTCCATCTTCCTTCTGGGAAGTTCTGGTTTGAATTCAGAGCCTCCAAGACACCTTTGGAAGTGGACCAAGATCTGGTGGCCTAGATAGAGGTAAGTGGGAGACTCTGCTTTGGAGCCAAGCAACAACCAAATGTGGCTCTTCCCCAAAGCCTAGTGTGACATATCTAGGCATTAGCTGAGTTCACCCTGATGTACAGGACCACACGGGACACACTCCACACACACTCTACTACATCCCACATGGTTGGCATCAGATGTATCCCAGCATGGCAGGCTCTTATCACTCAGCCATTGATTCTTAGAACAGGAAAGAACCTTGCTAAGTCTCTTTCTTTGTGGTGGCCATTAAAAATGAACCATGTAGATTTCCAGTGACCAAGAATAACATAGAAGGGCCCTACTGCTATACCCTGAAATCTATGGTTATCTATGATGGGGTCACATTTCCTTGGGCCTAGTGATGAGATGACAAGGCAGGCTTGCCCAGGGAACAGAATACAGCACATAGCTTTGACTAGAGGATCCACCAAATCCTTGCTGTGAGCCTTCCTAGCTCACTCAGCACTGACGCAGTGCGTGCTTTATTTGACTTTTCTGTCTCTCCTCCACATGGGGTCAGACTAGAAGCATGATATGGCTTTCAGAAGCTATGCTTCATCTGTACAGGGAGCACCCAGGTCGTCCCAACATGGGGGCCTCAGTCCTCTGAAAAGGATGTAAAAGATGACCTCACCATCTTCCCCCCAGTATGTATTTGTACACCCCATGATTCTTCTAGCCCGAGACATGCATGCAGGTCTAACCTAATGCCTTTGGCCATGGAGGTTCAGATTCTCTGAAGAAGAAAGGATGTGACTTGATATCAGTCTAGATAGGTGGACCTAGGAAAGAGTGAGCACTCACCTTATCTCCTAGACTGTACTCAACCAGCTTGCCCCAAAAGTCTGTGAAAGTGGTTTTGTAGCCCTCATGGCTGTGCTGGCGGAGTTCCTCTTGCCATTTGCAGAGCTGATCCGGGTACAGGGCAGGCATCTTATCTTTGACAACATGTCTCCGGGCCTCAAAGACAGCCGGCTCCAGATTTTTGGAAGACCATTCAGCATCACTGTACAAGGTAGCCATAGTCCTGGAGAGAGACATACACAGCTGACAGAGCTACCCAAGCTCTGGTCTGACCAACCCCATGTCCAGACAGGACAGAAGATGGGCAGATCATGGGGAGTCCCAAACCTGGCAGAAGGGCCTAGAGGAGAGAAGGACAGAGGGTCTTGTGGTGAGAGGCAAGCAAGCATTACTGCTCATAACTGGTTGCTCCCTGTCTTGCATGCTTACTGTATGTCAGGAATCCCATGCTGACTGAGATTAGGATTCTAGATCCACATCTTCCTGGGTTCAAAGCCAGGCTCTATCATTCCCTTGCCAGGTGACTTTGGACAAGCTACTTAGTCACTCTTTGCCTCAGTTTCCTTAACTAAAGTGGTAAGAGTTGTGATTGATGTAACCAGTTCATACAGTTCTTGTAAAAGAAAAATCACAAAAGTTAACATTGTGTGAAACACTATAACTGTGGTGAGGCAGGGTTTGGGACATTTGATCTCTGGATCGGCTGATTCCAGATCATGGATACTTTCTGTTGTGCCATATTCATCCCCATGATTAGGATACTAATTAAAGATTTATTTCCTGGGGCTCAGGGATTAAGAGGACCCCAGTTCAATTTCCAGTACCCACACAATAGCTCACAACCATTAGTAACTCCTCCTTCTTAGGACTGGTTCCAAAGGAAGATGGAAGATGGTTGGAATTCTTCTACAAATAGCACCCTACCTTCCATAAAGTTTTCTCTGTTACTTTAAAAAAGTTACCTAAACCCATTTGGTGCTTTATTTATTTATTTTTCATTTACTGACAGGGTTTCATATAGATCAGACTGGCCTCCAATTCAGAATGTAGCTGAGGTTGGCCTTGAACTCCTGATCTTGCTTCTATCTCTTGGCATAACAGGCATATACCATCACCCTCAGCTTGCTAATGTTTTTTTTTTAAAAGGTATGTTCCCTGCGAGGTGGTAGTGGTACAAATCTGTAATCCCAGCACTCAGGAGACAGAGGCAGGAGGAGCTCTGTGAGTGTGAGGGCAACCGGTCTACAGAGTAAGTTCCAAGAGACAGAGAAACTTTGTCTTAAAAAAAACAAACAAATAAAAAAAAGGTATTTTCCATATTTTCCTCAGTACAGGGGACCTGTGAGCCTCTCCAGTTAATTCTGGCTAGACATGAAGTTCTCTCTGTGTTCTGCCTACCATATAGTAGTCCAAGCATATACAATGCTCACCACCCCCTCTGGTCCACTGAAGCAAGTTATCATTTTAAACATATTATTATTACCCTAGGTAGACCAGACTGGCCTTGAATTAATGGAAGTCCTCCTGTCTCTGCCTTCTGAGTACTGAGTGGCCATGTTAGCTATAATAATAATTATTTTTAAAAATCATATTAGGCTGGGCTGGAGAGATGGCTCAGAGGTTAATAGCACTGACTGCTCTTCCAGAGGTCTTGAGTTCAATTCCAAGCAACCACATGGTGGCTCACAACCATCTATAATGAGATCTGGTGGCCTCTTCTGGCATGCAGGCACACATGTAGGCAGAACACTGTATTCATTATAAATAAATAAATCTTTTTAAAAAATTATATGAGGCATTGGAGTCTGCCTTGAACTGGAGTTCTGGGCACTTGTGAGCAGCCTAACATGGGTGCTGGAACTAAAATTGGCTCTTTTGCAAAAGCAGTGTGCAGTTTTCATAGCTGAGCATCTCTTAGGGCTGTGTAGTCTTTATTGCTATCTGAGAGCTTCTTCTGAACATGCCAGTCTATGATCCCAGACACAAGTGACCTGGGGCAAGTGCTTCTGCATCTCCATCTGTAAAATAACAGTAGGGAAGTTATGGGTGAACCTGCAGATTCTTCGTCTAGAAACCCAACCAACTGCAGGTGGAAATTATTCAGAAACTTCTTCCTGGCTACTGAACCTTGGTCATTACCAAGATAAGAGAACTTAGTATCCACTTACACAATGACTACTTTGGATTTGGTGCTAGATGGCTTCAAGTACCTGTTAGGACTGTGTGGACTTCATTATACAGATACCATGCCATGTGTATAAGGAGCCTGGCAGTGATATTCCCCTAGGTCTCCAGTAGCTAATCCCTCCTGGATGTTGTGGACAGTTGATGGACAGTTGTGCTTGGTGCAGAGGGCAACACTGATAACCTTCCAGCCCATCTATCCAAAGCCCCCAGCATCTGAGGAGTAGATATTAAGTCAAAGAGTTTCCTAGGACAAGTTCACATCCAGTTCCTCTGATGAGAGCTGCCTGGAGCTCCATCAAGAGAAAAGGCATAGCAGGGGAATTCAGGTCTCAGGCCCTGACAGTAAGGTGTAGCTCTGGCTAAGAGGCTTCCTGTGGTCACAGGGCTCCTTGATGATTTTAACGAGCCCCTTTTACTATAAAAAATATACTAAAAGGTCCATGCTATGACTATGTCATTTAAATGTAACTGTATTGACATTCATCAAAACACTTTCTCTAACCTACAAGCTCTTTTATTCCTTGTGATTTAAATATAAATGAATGTTTTGTTTTGGACCCTGGCTGTTAGAGTTGACCTTCCCTGTGTTCCTTTTGGGGGTCCAGTGGCTACTTCCCTTACACCTCAGCAGAGTGGGGGAGGAGGCAGCCCTATGAGAGCTCTTCTTAAGCCTTCCTGATGCTTCAGGGAGTCTGACAGGGCAGACATAAAGAGAAAGGATAGTGTTGAGGGTCTGCAGGGAGGCAGGTCAGAGCAACTGGGCTAGTTCTACCCATCCTGGAAGATTGAGCCCATCCCCAAGAGAGGGTGACTGCCTCTCAACAAGACAGGCAGTAACACCAGGCTCACTCATCACTGGCCATGTGTTTTGTTTTTGTTTTTTCTTTTTCTGGGATGCTGCCACAGCCCCAAGGACATAGCCAATAATGACCAATGTATACTGTGGCTCATGCTTAATACTGGGAGAGGCCAAGCCTATTATCAACCCCACTTTACAGGTGCAGCAACCGACTCTAAGGAATTAAATTGAATGCCCCAAGTCCCACAGCTGTGCGTGGCAGAGTTTTCCAGGCACCATGAGTCACTTTTACTTGGGGTGGGAGAGTTCAGAACGCTACCAGATCCCAGGCCACACCCACTCACTACTTCCTCTGGGCTCCACCAACAATGGTACCCAGTTTCTTACCAGGTTGCACCTGACAAGCCAGTGATGTAAGTGGAACAGTCCAGAAGGTTCAGCTTCTGCAGTCCCATCAGGTGGCCGTACAAGGCAACCATAGATCTTGTGCCACCCCCTGTGGCCATGATGGCTATCTGTGGTACCTGTAGGCATAGAAACAGACTGCTGGGAAGGGCTCCTCCACAGACAAGAACATGGAGTGATCTCAGCTTAACAAAATGGGGGAAGACAGAGAGCTGCTTAGAGAGAAGGAAGGGGCAGGGATCACCCTTCACAGAGTAGTGGGTTACTTAGTAGGGCCCAGAAGATGATGTTGCTCTAAGCCCAGTGATGACATCATTAAGGGATCTGTTGCCTAATCTAGACTTGGTAACTAAGAAAGTAATGGTTAAAGAGTAGCACGCGCCTTTAATCCCGGCACTCCAAAGGCAGAGGCAGGTGGATCTCTGTTAGTTTGAGGCCAGTCTGGCCTACAGAGATAGTTTCAGGACAGGCTCCAAAGCAATACAGAAGAACCCGAAAAACAACAACAAAAAACCCAGCCAAACAAAAACATTTCTGATTGGGGGAGGGGGTAACATAGGTGTAAAGTGCCCTTGCTCTTTCTCTGAAGAGACAAAAGGAGAAACTTCCTATCTCCATTTAGTAGGGACGGTAAGACCTTTCCTAGAGCTGAAGTCCTGTCACAGCCCTGTCCCTGTTGCAGCCTACATTCTGGTTAGCCTCAGAAGCAAGGTGCTCAGGGGCTAACCTGTTCCCCAGAGCGGCAGATAGAGGTGCAGAGGGGAAGAGTCGACTGGCTCTGGGAATGAAAGAGGTTTCTCTTCAACTACAACTGTCATTTCTGGCGGGACCAGTACATGTACACATTAGAGAAGAGAGCATGTGGGTGAAGGCTGGGGGCTGGGTGAGAATGCCAGTCTGGCGCTCTGTCAGTAAGACCCATTAGTCATGCCAGGATGCTGTGTGTGTGTGCGTGCGCGCGTGCGTACGTGTGTGCACACACGTGAGTGAGTGCGCACACGCGTGTACACATGTGCACGGGTACATACACACACACTCATGCACAGCAACCAGGAGCCCCGTCCTGGTGAACACACAACTGAATTACACATAGCAGGGCCCTTGTCCCAACACCACAACCTCAGCAGCTGGAGCAAACACAGAAATCCAAGTGACACAGTAGTTACCCTGGGTTTCAGGGGGGATAGAGTAGAGAGAACATGGAGGTGGGGGACTGGTGTAGTCCAGAGCGACCCTCAGTCCAGGCAGTGCCCCTGCGTGCCCACCCCATCCTCATGCAGGTCATCCTCCAGCTGTAGCACCTGAATTAGTGCCTTGGAGAGTGATGTCAGTCCAGGCAGTGCCCCGCGTACCCACCTCATCCTCATGCAGGTCCTCCTCCAGCTGTAGCACCTGGCTTAGTGCCTTGGTCACCACCCCCCTCCGCTTCTGCAGAAACTCCACCTCCTCCTGGCACAGGTTGAATCCAAGCCGCACATCCAGTGTGTTAGGGCTGTGGGGAAGGGGACCCTGTAGCCACCATCTTCAATTGTTTGATGTGGCTTTGGGGCCCAGTTCTGCTCTTCTGTGACCTTGGGTATCTATAGTCTCATCTGCAAATTGCTTCCTGATCAGCACTACCTTCAGTACAGGACATCAGGCATGAAGCCCCTGACCCATAGCTGGCTCATGATCAGCTGGGACTTGTCTAAAAACTACTCATGTCTGAACCTTCTGTCTCCTCGGCAGGATCTGGAAAGTTCCAAAAGGTTTCCCTAGGCACTTTCCCTATCCCAAAGCTACTATGAGTGATGAGGGCCCCTTAGATCCCTTTGGTAAACCCCTGGCCCTCTGCTCCTGCGGAGCTCTTGGCTCCTTCTGAATCCTTCCTGCCCGCAGGGTCAAGATTCTCCTGGCGTTTGTGCAACTGACAACACCTCTCACACTGATCTATCTCACTGCGTCGGATGAGGCAGGAGCTATCATGACATGCCTCCTGTTTGCCTTCTTTTTATCACACACACCCTTGTCCCAAGTCAAAGCCTGGTATATAAGACCCCACCAGAGCTGTCCAAGCTCACTTTAAGCTACCTACTGGAAGAGACCCACCAAGGTCTCAAACACTGATTTCTGAACCTTGCTTAGAGTCTTAGCCTTCATAGGAACAACTTAATTACCCATATTCCTGAATCCTCTGAGGCCCAGCACTGAGGCGGCTGTGTGATGTGGGAGCAGGTTATGTGTGAGCTCAAGTGTGTGCATGTCAGTTTCTGGCCTATCTTAGCTTACAATGAAGCTGAATATCCTTGAAGACAGGGCCTGGGCTCTCCCAGTACCTCTCTTCCTATGAGGAAATAACTTTTCCTGGCAGTCATGGGAATGAATAATAACAGTAGCATTGGTGAACTTTTGGGGAATATCCCATTTACCATGTGGATCCCTGGCATCTCATACACATTAATTCATGGGATTCAAAGAGCAACCTGAATTGTAGATGAGGAAAACCCAGACCCCGTGAGTATAAGTAACTTTTTTAGTGAAAAATAACAAATCAAACTATAAATAAAAATTACAGACAAGGGGCTAGAGAGATGGGTCAGAGGTTAAGAGTTCTGGCTGTACTCTTCCAGAGGACCCAGGTTCAATTCCCAGCACCCACATGGCATTTTACTACTGTCTGTAACTCCAGCTCCTAGAGATAGAATGCCCTCTTCTGGCCTCTGCTAGCACTGCACACATGTGGTGCACAGGCTTATGTGCAAGAAAAACACCCAGACACAAAATAAAAATTATAAAAAACATCGTCACTTGATTTTCAACAAGAGTGAAATTTAACAGAGGAAAGAAAAGTCTTTTCAATAATGATGCTGGAGCAGTTGGATATCCCCATGTAAAATGTACGGTATGCAAAGTGAACTAAAAATCAATCATAACCTAGACATGAGAGCTAAAACTAAAGACATCTTAGAAGAAAACATTGAAGCAAATATTTGTGATTTTTGATTAGGCAATATTTCTTAGATTTGGCATCAAACATACAAATGACAAAAGAGAAAATAGGTTTCAATCCGGCTGTGTTGGTGCACGCCTTTAATCCCAGCACTCGGGAGGCAGAGAGGCAGGTGGATCTCTGTGAGTTCGAGGCCAGCCTGGTTTACAGATTGAGTTCCAGGACAGGTTCCAAAGCAAAGAGAAACCCTGTCTCAAAAAACAAAAACAAAAACAAACCCCCCAAAAAATAGAAAATAGGTTTCATCAAAATTATAAACATTTTTTCCCCAAAGGACACCACCAAGAAAATGCAAAGAGGAGTTGGAAGATATGGCTCAACAGTTGAGACCTGGGTTCAGTTTCCAGTACCTACAGGTGGTTCACAACCATCCATAACTCCAATTCTGGGGTACCCATGCCCTCTGTGGGCTCTAGCTATGCATGGGATACATATATACATGTAAACAAACACATGTACACATACATAAAGAAAATATAAAAACATCCTACAGAACAGGGGTAAATATAAAATACTTGTCTCCATAAGTTAAAATAAGACAGAACCCACTTAAAACACGGGCAAAGGATTTGGTTAAACATGTCTCAAAGAAAATCCACCAATGGCTGAGTAATGCCAGAATAGATGCTCAACCTCATTAGCCACTGAAGAAAATACATAGTGAGATACCACCTCACACCTACTCCTCTGAGTTAGGACAGAAAAGGGTACGTACCAGGGTGTGGATTTCATGTGTAATTCATAGTTCTCTCCCTGATGAGAAAAGGGGGAAAAGCCTGTTAGAGATGACCATTGAGAGCTAAGGAGCCCAACCAAAGAGGGGGAGATTTACTACATGACTCACTCATGGACTGGACTCAGCATGCGTGCGTGTTCACAATGATCTACACATACATGCTCACACATGTACACACATGCTCCCTTCACAGTCTACTTCTAGATGCGAACCCACCATTTTCACTCAGGCTCCACATTTCCTGGTTACCACTGAAGCCCACAAGACCGTTCATTCCACTTTGTCCAAAAGACGCCATTCCCCGTGTGTCTTTGGGTTCTTTCCATCTCCCTGCTACAGAGCTAAGGATCTCTGAGATCCCTTCCCAGACCCAGGTGCTCACCACAGGCAGGGTCACTGCCTGGCCGTCAGAAAGGCAATCGAGGGGCTGGCAGACAGGGCCATTCCTGCGTGTTCCACAGCAGCAAAGCTGGAAGGAAGGATGGGTGAGCTCTGTGAGGGACTGTGGGACTCCTCTGCTAGCCCTCCCAGCCCAGCTCCCTTCCTCCTCCCTTCCAAGCGTGGCTGCCTAGTACCCCACAGTCCCAGCGGCTCTCTGGTGCCTCTGCGTGCAGCTGAGGCTGGAAGTACATAGGGTAGTGGAAACAGGCTGGATTGCCGCAGCAGGGCTCCAGGCAGGGTGGGACACACTGAGTATTCTCGAAGGAGTCTGACACCATCACCAGGAGGTCTTTATCTGAGAAAGAAGACATAGTTAGACCCCTGAGAAGATTCTTATCTTTGCTTCCCATGTAGCCCAGCAAAGGTCCTATCTTGGCTTCGTATTTAAGAGTGCTGACTGCTCATCCAGAGGTCCCAGGTTCAAATCCCAGCACCCACATGGTAGCTCATAACTGTCTGTAATTTTAGTTCCAGGAGATCTGGCACCCATGGTCAAAGTGCCAATTCACATAAAATAGAGATAACTAAAAAAAAAAAAAAAAAAAAAGAACGTTTATTGCTTTTCCAAAGACCCTGGTATGGTTCCCAACACCCATGCTGGCTCACAACTGTTTAAACTCTAGTTCCAGGGGCTTCAATGTACCTGGTGTACATATATGCAGGCAAAACCACTCATACACATGAATTAAAATAAATAAATTTAAAAATAAAAAATAACCCCATCTTGAAGTGCCAGGAGGTTCACAATCACTGGACACTCATTCAAACGCCTCAGACTGGGCCTTGGGATAACCTGCAATTTAACAAGGCCTGTGGAAGACGCTGACAGATATGCTCTCCAGAGAGCCCTCAAGATGTCGAGAGTCAAGATTAGACCTCTTGGCTTTGCTTTGCTAGCAGAGCCCCCTCCACCCACCCAAAGTCAGAGCCCACTGTGGAGAAAACAGACCCCCATCGGACTGTCAGTTTGGCAGCAGAAGCCCCTCCAAGGCCTCCTTTCTGGCCTGTGTCTGTGGAGACACACTGCTCTACTGTGAACAGCAGGGGTGGACAGTGGTATGTGTGGCTCACTAGGTCTTTTCCGGCTGGAAAGTGCTGTGGATTGGGAGTGTGGGAAGGTATGGCTTGAGGACACCTGCAGCTGTAGTGCCCACCTGCCCCATGTGTGCTGCCATTGTCTGCGCATAGCGACTCAGTACAGCACTTAGCCCTAGGCCCCAGGACACTTAGCAGTCCTGAGGACTTCCATCTGGGTCCCTGGAAGAACACACCCTTCATAGAGACAGCTGGAGAGGGTAGGTGTCTGAGGACACGATTCTGGGGGTGGGGGGTTGACTGTACTTCCCCCAACTCAGGATAGCCCAGGCAAGGTTGAGTCGACCTGGTTCTCTGAGCTCCAAATTGACCTCCATGGGGCTTGGGAGCAATCTTCTTGCCAACCCCACACCTAAACCCGCCATTAAACAGAGTAGGGAAGCTCACTTTTCTTCCTCTTCCTCGGCCTCCTGGATTCTGCATGGACCTCCAGGCAAGAGACTTGTCGAGACTGTAACAAAGCAAAGAGGTCTCAGGGACTCTAAGCACAGGCCAGGTAAAGGCTTTGCCACACATTCCTAATATTCTGCTTTTTAGGGGAGAGGCTTCCGGGACACTGGGTACATTCAGTTAAAACAGCTATGGAGTTTGTTTTTTGAGGCAGGGTCTCACTATGTAGACCAGGCTGTTCTCAAACTCATAGAGATCTGCCTGTCTTGAGCTCCCAAGAGCTGGTAAAGGTATGTACCATCATACCTGGCTTAAGAAATGATTTTAGTACTGATATCATGCTTGCAGAGGTATTGGAATTGTGAGTGACTAAGTCTGAGAAAGGGGTGATCTCTCGGGGATGTAGGGTGCAGGGTAAGGGTGATACTCTCATACTTTCTGCTTTGATCCAGGAGCTCAGGGTGCAGCTCCACCCCTGGGTGCACCCTATTTAGTCTAATTCTCTCTGGCTGGGCTCAGCACGGGGACCAGGCTCCAAGCTGGGCCCAACACCCTCTCCCCTGAGAGCAGCAGCCACATGTGGCCTCAGGAGCGACCAGAGCCCAGGACAATTACCACAATCACACCATTGGTGATGAGCATCTCGGGTGAAGAGAGGCTGAAAAACAAAAGAGAACTCCCTGTCAGTAACAATATTCTTGGCTGGTTTCTTATGGAGGTGACAAAAACTGTAAAACATATCAGTCATAAAATAGCAGATTCTTCTCAGTTGTGAAAAATATCTGCCTGAAAAGCTAGGTTTGAACTAGACTTGGTGACATCTACCTGTAAATTTGTCACCTGAGAGGCAGAAACAGGAGGATCAGAGCCCTAAGCCAGCCTCTGTGATCCTGTTTCAATTCAGACCTAGATCTGTAGATTGTCAAGGGAGAAAGAGGTGTACATTTAAAAAAAGGTGCATAGGTTAGAGGTCATTAAGACTGCAGCCCCTCATCTAGAACAGATGCAAACATTTGGTACCAACAAAGCTTCTGTGCTTTAATTAATGTATACATTGTGCAAATAGGGCTGACTTTTAAATCTAAATTATTTTGTTATTTTACTTGTATTTTTTTTTTTTTTTGCATGCATTCAGGGTGTACCTATGTATTACCTATGTATGTATATCACATGCTTGCAGTGCCAGCAGAGGTCAGAAGGGGGCATTAGTTCCTCTGGAAGTGGTCACAGATGGTTGAGCCACCATGTGGGTGCTAGGAATTAAACCCAGGTTCCCTGGAAGAGCAGCCAGTGTTCTAAACCACCAAACCATTTCTCTGGCCTCCAGATTTGATTTTTGTTGCCCACCCTCTCCAATTTTGGCCAGGGGTTATATTTGTTCTAACAGTTCTCAGTCAAAGAGGAGAACCCTTATCCTTATCCCATACCGTGGTGGCAGGAATTCTTTAGGAAGCTCCTGTCAGAAATGCTGGGGACTGAGGCAAGTACTAAAGTGTGTGTGTGTGTGTGTGTGTGTGTGTGTCTCAAGTGTGTGCTACCATACTTGATTGATACTGTACTGGGGCCTGAACCCAGGGCTTTGTGTATGCTAGGCAAACATTCTACCAACTGAGCTATATACCCAACCTTGTAAATATTTAAAAGAATACTGGCATTAATGGAACTAGAATAGTGGTGGACCCAGGGCGCCTACACCCTTTATACACTCCCAAGAGAACTGGCACGCTTGGAAGAAGCCAGCAGTGAGGCTGGAACAAGGGAGGGGCAGCACAAAGGAGGACACCGCTCTGAAGTCAAGGATCTTAGCTGACACTCAGGGCTGATGCCTACTTACTTCTCTGTGAGCAGGAACTCCACCTCCAGTTCTTCCATGCCCTGATGAGAGAGAAAGGAAGGAGGCTATTGGCCATGTCTGCCACCTCTACCTCCAAGGACCCTTTTCCACCTCTGCAGACCTGCATGCCCTACTCATGGGGCCACAGAAAAGGAATGGCTGCTGCCAGCTCTTCTTGCCCTCCCCACCTGTCTTTGTCCTAGTCTCTGACATCAGGCACAGCAAGACAATGCAGGGGATTCAGATGTGGATGTGACATTTGGCCCTGGATATGCATTCTTCTGTCCCAGAGCCTTGGGACAGTTCTCCTCTGCTTGTCTGTCTTCTCATGGGGCTCAGGGATTTGGCACAGGAGCTCTGGGCTGGTGCCTTTAGAGAGCACAGCTTTGTCAAGGCAGGACCCTTCCCTTCCCTCTGCTTCCATGCTTCCTTGTGTAACAGGGGGTGAATCATGGCTTCACTGGACCTCAGTTTCCCCATTGGATATATAGAACAATGGTAGAGATGCTTGCCCTCTGATGTATGCCTGAAGCCCAGGTATGGCTGAATCTATAATACCTTGGTTGTTTCCAGTTCTGAACTTCCTGACTTGTCCTCTCTACCTCTAGGACATTCCAGAAACTGGACTTGGAATTAAGAAAAAGGAAACCGACATTCTATTTAGTATCACTAATTGCAAGGGCCTTCATTACTATTTCTAACTTAAGCCTCATAGCAATCCTGCTTGGAGGACTATTGTCACCATTGTGGAGATGAAGAAGTAGAAAATAAGAGGAGTTAATCAATCCCCATGCAAGTGACAGCACTAAAATTTGAACCAGAAGCAAATCGGTTTCCTAGCTTGTATATGTGCTCAGAGTAGCCCACGCAAGGGTATCATGGCAGCAAGTGGCTGTTCCCCATGAAGTCTGAAGTCAGAGGTCCAGAGACTGTGATCTGCACCCACCTCTGGGTTGAGTGGAAACTTCACATGGGTTTTATTCCGAAGGCAGAGCTTGGAGAGATCATAGAGAACTGTCAAGAGATGGTCATTGGGTGTCAATGTGTCTTCATCACAGACGCTCAGCTCTAGTACGTTCTAGAGGAGAGGGCAGAGTGGAGTCCTGGTTACCATGATTGCAATGACAGGATCTCTGGCCTAGCAGAGACTCAGGTCTGAGGAAGGGGGACAAAAAGCCTTCTGCTTGGAAGCCAGAGACATTTGCAGGGACATGAATCCAGGGAACAAGTGTCTTTCCCCTGTTCTCCAGCTCCCTAGAAACTGCTATCCCTCTGCTCTGATTTCAGGATAATTTGGTCCCTTTAAAACTTGAAAAGCTTGGCTTTCACTTCTCCTGGGGAAGGATGAAGAAAAAACAATGTTCTGCAAGACCCAGCTCCTGGGAGATGAAGACAGCTAGGAAAGGCAGGTCAAGGAAATTAACATTTGGTACTCCACATGGAAATCTCCCTCCCTCACCAAACTCATATACACAATAGAAAAGACATCTTACTTCATCTTGTTGAGATAGTCTCACTGTGCAGCTCAGGCAGACTTTAAACTAGCAATCCTCCTATCTCAACATCCCAAGTACTGAGATGGCAGGTGAGAGCCATTTATCACAACTATTAAAAGGTATTTTTTTAAAGAATCATAATGATCACAACCCTCTTGAAAACTAAAAGGGCTCTTTGTGAATACAACTATAGTAATCTGGAGTGTCAAGCCTTGACTATCTCAGGATTGATGCCTTCATCACCAGGCCAAATTTTTCTCAAAGCTGCCACTACTTGAGATGCTCAAGGAAAATTCTACAAGAAATGTGACCATGACTTAGACACACCATAAATCTGAAGAAAAACAACACCGTGAAATAATGGCTCAATGAGTGAAAAAGCACACACCCAAGGAAATAGAAATAAGAGAAAAGTACTAAAGCAATTAACAACAGATTTAAGAGGGAAGTCTCCAGATGAAATTAGATCAGGTTGGACCTGGTCAATAGAATGGTTTTCCCTACTGTGTATTCTCCTACAAGGAGAGTGCTGTGGAAGGTACCATTTTATTTTTCTGAAGTAAGAGATAGTCAGGATCAACGGCAATTAGGAGGACAGGAAATTAGAAGGTAGAAGAATTAGCAGACTCAGAGAGGGACACATATAGAGAGAAGGAAGTGGTGGGTGAGTGGGAAGGCAGGGTAAAAGATATGTAGGAAGACAAAGAAATAGCCTTAAGAACAACATGGAGGTGGGGAGGGACAGGTGGAGGGAGGGACAGGTGGAGAGTGGGGAGTAGACACATGGGCAGGGCACACAGGTGTGGTCCTCGGTGGCTCACCTTTACTTGAGTCTGGATCTGAAAGGTGAAGCTTTCATCCCACTCTGGGTGTAGGCAGTTGGAGATAGTTCTGGTCCTCAGCTTCTCCTGAGAGGCAGTAGGCAGCCAGAGGGTGACAAAGCAGTCTGTCTGACTCACTGTCCGAGGAAGAATGGTAGAAGAGAGGGGATGGAGACGTCAAAAGGGAACCTCAGGCAAATCTCTTTAGAGCAAGGCCTCCTGTCAGCCGCCAATCTTTTCCTGATGCAGGGGTCTACCTCTCTGACTTGGTTCTAGAACCCCAAGATGGGCACACAGACCGAGGGCTATTGGTTACATGGAATGGGGGCAGTCTTGCTGACCTAAAGCAGAAGTACTCCAGGCTCTGAGCAAACAACTTTGATGGTTAATCTTGGTTGTCAACTTGACTAACTTAAGATCAACTAAAATCCAAGCTTCGGGCCATTCCTGTGAGGGATTTTCTTAAGCAGATTATTGGAAGCCGGGAGACCTACCCTAATTCTGGGCCACACCTTCTAATGGCAGCCCCATGTGGGGAGGGGTTCAGATGAAATAATGAACTGGGCCATATCTCCGTATGATTTAATGCAGCTGTATCCAGTGGGCTCTCCATACAGTACTGGTCTCCTAGGATGATGTGCGCAATCCAGGGTACCCTCCTTTTTGTGGCTAAATGCCTTCTTTCTTTTTAAATGAACAAACCAAGTGTCCCGGAGAAGGGAAGCTGCTTTGACTTCAATAAGGCTTTCCAATATGAAAGCCAGTCTAACTCTTCTGGTGGGAGTAGCAGGACAGATAGGGCTAAGAATAGCCTAAGTGCTTCCTCGTGCCATTATTCTCGAGAGGAGGGAGGAAGAGGTACCAGGATTGTGTTTGTCACCACCTTGGTGACCTTCTGGGGTAAGTCCTAGGGTACAAACCACATCTGTAAAATTCAGTGAAAGTTGAGAATTTCCCCTGTCCTGTAAATGGTGGGGCTGGGGAGGATGGGAATCCAGCTAGTTCATCATTTTTACTAGCAATTGCTGTGTGAGTGGAGGCAGAGCTCCCCCAGGGACCGAAGCCCATTTTGTCACGGCACCAAAAGGCCTGTAGTGTCTGTAACCCCTTTTGCGTCATGTGTTCTGCCTTCTGAACACAGTCAGTCTTTGATGGTTCACCATTTGGGGAACTGACACTCCCAGCACCTCCTCCCACTGAGTAAAGGTAAGAGGACACCATCCTTACCTGCCCTAGTCATGACTTAGGCCACAAAGAAAGACAAACCCTTACAGAGTGAGACGAGAATGCTGGCCTCACCCCCTGGGCCCGTCCCCTCCAGGCCCACCTGTTCTCTCCCACTGACTCGGGTACCTAGGCCAGGAGCCATGGGTCCTCCCTGATTCCCTCAGAGTCCTCATCGCTACTGCCTCTACCTTGGGGCAGGTCGCCGTCATCTCTGGAAATTTTCCACTGGGCTCCCTGTCTCCTATGTTGTCAACCTTTTCTCATAAGAGAAGGGGCTTTTGAAACATGACTTTGTCGCTATCTGGTTTAATAGCTTAGGAAGGTGCCCCATCCTTACCCACCATGGCTCTCCTTCCTATTTTCTCAGCTCAGCATCATCTCTCCACCCTTTCTGACTCCCCACCCCTGCCCTGCATACGTTTATGCACACACTCATGCTCATACTCACACACCTACACATGCATGCAGACACCCACCCACACTCACTCTGTCTCCAGAACAAGCGTAGACACTCCTAGGTCTCCAAAAGGGCCGTGCTATCTCACTTCAGGCCTTACACCTGTCACTCTTTATGCTAGACACCTCTTCCTTCCCTCCTCTCTTTCTCTTTCTTTCCTCCCTCCTCCCCCCTCCCTTTCCTTTATGTGTCTGTGTGCTTGCCTGCATGAAATAGCCACATGAAATAGCATGCAGTAACCTGTAGGGACCAGAAGGGGGCATCAGGTCTTTTGATACGGGAGTTAACAGGAGGTTGTGAGCTGCCGCTGAGAATAGAACGTGAGTCCACCACATTAGCACTGAGTATTTTTGACAGTTGAGTCTTTAGCCCCAACATCCTTCTTTTCTACATCTTTTCTTTTCTTTCTTTCTTTGGTTTGTTTGTTTGTTTTTTTTGAGATATGGTTTATCCTTGTAGCCCTGGGTATCCTAGAACTCTCTCTGTAGACCATGCTGGCCTCAAACTCACAGAGATCTGCCTGCCTCTGCCTCCTGAGGTGTGTTTGTTCTACCACCACCCAGCTCCTTCTTTTCTTCTTGAACGCACCCTTCTCTTCACTGGTTTTAGAAGGAGTCCTCCCTGTACTCCTCCCTTAGGTTTTAGAAGGAGTCCTCCCTGTACTCCTCCTCTGAGTGTCCAAGTCCAGCTAGGTGCCCCTTGGCTGCAAGTCCTCTGTGCCACTCCTAAGAGGGTACTTGCTATGCTGTACTGGCAGAGCAGGTCCAGCCATTGTCTTCATCACACTGTGAACACCGAGAAGGCCAGGACCTGCGACCTTTGGACAGAGTAGGCACTCACGAGACAACTTTTAAAATGAATGAATAACAACTTCCTGCTATAGGGCTGTATCAGAGACCAAGAAATCCTGAGCAGATCGAGGTGGGCAAGTCAGTATGTGTCATTGCTCTACTTATAGGGAGACTCACCAGGAGATATGCTCAGTCCTCTTGGAACCCTCCCTTGACTTTTCCTGGTCCCAAGCTCTTCCTTTTCCCTGGGCCTGGAACATTTTTCTCAAATCTGCTTTCTGTGTAGTGCGATTCTGCCACACCTATTGGTTCTGTCAGACCAGTTAGCATATATGACATAAAGGACCCTGTAAAGGTCTTTGTCTCTCTAAAACAGTTCCTCTTTTGCCAATCCACACCAAAAATTTTCCCACTGAATCCATTAAATAACATCTCAGTGTTTTGGTTTAAATCTCAAGTTAAGATAAAAAATACTCTTTCCAGGTGGTGAGTGTTGTTTAGTTTTAGCTAATTTGATACAAAGCTAGACATATCTGGGAAGAGGGAATCTCAATTGAGAAATTGCCTCCATCAGATTGGACTGTAGACACATCTGTGGGCATGTTTTCTTGATTAATGATTGGCATGGGAGGGTCGAGCACACTGTGGCGGTGCCATGTCTGGAGAGGTGGTCCTGGTTTTATATGGACCCTAGTACTCTAAACAAGCCATGCAAACAGTTTAGTAAGTAGCACCCTCCATGGCCTCTGCTTTGGTTTCTGCTGCCAGGTTCTTGTCTTGAGTTCCTGCCTTGACTTCCCCAATGAAAGTCTGGAATCTGTAAGATGACATAAACCCTTTCCTCCCCAAGTTGCTTTTGGTCAGATTTTGTCACATCAAAAGAACCCAAATTAGGACATGCTCTATGCCTGGGATCCCAGCAAGTGGAAGACAGATGCAGGAGGAACAAGAGTTCAAAGCCAGGCTCAGTTCCTTAGTGAGACTCGTCTAACAAACAAAGAGCATCAACAACAAAACATTCCTGGAAGTGACAAGGCCGACTGGAAGATCAGACGCCCATACTCCAGCATTCATCAGTTTTCAATTATTTTCGCAGTAGCTTCCCTCCCCTGGGAATCAGGGGAGCATAGCACAATGGGAATGGGAGAGGAACGGCAGTGGGAACTCTGGGGCCCCAGATGGTGGGCTGAGGCAGGCACATTAGCTAACTTTAAGGACACTGTCACATTGGCCACAAGGAAATGGTGACTAAACTGGGAATTTCAAGACCTGGGATTTCCTAGGCAAAAGCAGGTTCTAGCCCCTGTTCCCCAGGAAGTGAGAAAGACTTTTGTCATGTGAACGTCATGGTCCCTTCCCTGAATTGTAGGTGGCAGAGATGACTTAATTGTCTTCAGAGATGTTCAGAACATTCCTGGGTGGTTACCAGCGGATACCCCAGTATCTCTTGAGGTACCTGCCTGATGCTCCTAGGGGTACTAGTTGGGGCTTTAACTTGTTTTTACCATGGAAGGAAACTCCTGGTGGCTGAGGTTTGTTTCTAGGAGTGCCTGCCTTCTGGCCTCTTTAGCTCTTTTTCTGGTACTCTTTAGCTTTTGGCAAGGTGTCATCCCTGAACCTCTGATACTTCTTGCTATCAGGCTCTTGACATCTCCAGAAAAACAGGCATGGGTTAAATGCTTACACCAAAGAACCATTCATTTTGGATTTATGCTAGAAGGGAGCAAGAATGAGCACCATAATTTCCTACTGAACCCATAAGAAGGCAGCAACATAGCCCAGCCTGTGACAACTGTGGAGTCCAGACCCAATATGACCTTGCCAGAAGCATCAGTTGCCATATCTGCCTTTTGTCCCTTAGGGAAAATGGGAGAAACATAAACAAGGGGAACCCAAAGAGAACCCCAAAGTCTGTTTGTATGCCAAGGGGCATGTGGTGAAGGGGAAAAGGAGACTGGTAAAGCCGGATTGTAGCCTGCCTTGCTACTTGCCAGCCTCAGGGGACAGGCGTGGCAGGGACACGGCAGAAGAAAGGGCCTTGGACAATGGAAGGTCTTGCACACAGGTGCAGGCATGAAGACTAAGAATGAGTGTCCTGGGTGGCTGGTGATGGTGATGGGGTTGAAACAGACACACCTCTGGAGAAGCTGGAGGACGGTGTGTGGGAGCTAGGGCTGAGGGGAAGGGTGACCTCTGCCGAGGAGTGGAATGAGAGACCCATTCTGGAATGGGCAGGAAAGGTGTCATGGTCTAGGCCTGGGAACACTTCCTGGCTCCTCAGATCACACCCCAGTGTACTGAGAAAGCCCCAAGGAGTCTGGAGATCCCTTGCTCTGCAGTGGGGCCCCTTGGCTGACACACGCTGAATGTAATGCTTGCTGGAACTGTTCCTACTGGCGCAGACACTGACTGCCTCGCCCTCTGTAGTCTCAGTCTGAAACGTGTCTGTCCCTTTGCAGTCTCTGGGACAAAGGACTATCCCTTCTCCGGCCCTCCACAGCTGTTCTCCCTCCAATCTGCTCCCCAGCATGATTGGCACATGAGTATCAGGAAGTCATGTAATCCCCAGAGAATCGAGCAGCCTGTTCCTCTTCTGTCTAGCTTCTGCCCATGATCTGACCACACTTCTTTCCCCTAGAGAGCAGCGGTTCTCAAACTGTGGCTCAGATCATATATCATATCATACTATATCATATATCCTGCATATTAGATATTTGCTCTATGATTCATAACTAACAAAATTACAGTTATGAAAGAACAATGGAATAATTTTATGGTTGGGAGTTGCCATAACATGAGGGACTGTATTAAAGGGTTGCTACATTAGGAAGGTTAAAAACCACTGCCCTAGAGGGTCCCCTCTCCTCACCAACCCTCCAGGCTTAGAATCAAACTCTAATTCTACCTCAGGCAATCATGAAGCCCTCACCTACAAAGTGGGTCTCCTATGATGATCACTCAGCTGTGGGAAGAACTGAACTGAATTTGACTACCTGGTGACCAGCCCATAGCAAGTATTCCAAGACAGCCCCTTCTCTTAGATTGCTCCTCCTCAGACCAGGCTTCCAGCCCCCAGATGCTTACAACCTTGCCAATCAGACCTTAGAATCTCAGTGTGCCCTTCTTGGCCTTTGCAACTCCCACAGCTGTGCACCCTAGACATAGAGCCTTCTCTGCCTAGAGAGGCCAAGCTTCTTTCCTACTGTAAGCAAGCAGAGCTCCACATGAGGAGATAACTGATTTCTTAGACACCATAATATACACATAGTGCATCTCTGGCCCAGTCCAACAGCTTCATTTCCTCCCAAACCAGAAGTTCCCTGAGCTCCTGTGGCCTGGGAATGCAGCAGGAGCCAGACGAAGGAGAAGCTGGTCTACAAAGAGTTCCTGCCTAGTGGATTGAATATGCAACCCCGCAGAGGAGACTGGGCTGCAGATCAGGGTACTACAGACTGCTGTGCCTCAAGAACTGGGTTTGGGATCCGTGTCCTGAGAAGCAGCTCTGAGAGGAGCTGGTGGGCAGTTCCATGATACTAAAGGGCTTCTACTATTCTACCCCAGCAGCCCCTAAACTCACTGGTGATACAATGGCTCAGGGTCTATGGAATTCTATCACAGAGATATGCCTGACTAGCTACAGCTAGGTCCTTTCCTTATCCAGATCCCCCAAACAGGAGGCAGGAGTGGGGAGGAAGTATACTTACACAAATCAGCCTGCCGGACATTTTTCATGCCGATGACCCTGACTGTCAACAGATGGCATGGAGATGGCCCCTCCTGTAGATTAAAAAGAAGGTGAAGTCACTCTTCAAGTACCACCTTGAGACCAGTGCTGCCGGGGAGACCTCTCCATGCTTGTCTCCCTGCCTACCTCACAGCAACCTCAATGCTGTTCAGTCATTGTTTATTTTGGCTTATTTCTCTACTACATGGAAGTCTCATAAGTTGAGACATACTGCTTTTTTTCCCAGCTTTTTACCTCTATGCTGATATATGTATATATAATAATAAATATTTGTGAGACAGTGAATGCTCTGGCCCAAGTACATTAAGGGAATCCTGAGATGTTTTTATTCTCTTGTCCAATGAATAATTCCTTATTTCAGCCACACAACTACAAAATTTCCCCTTATCTACCCAACATGGCAGCTTGCTCAGAAGGTAGGCACAGTTTGACTGGGAAAGATGGCAGACATCTATGAAGCCTGGGTATCTCATGCCAGGAGGTTACCACCCCAGGTCTTAGGGGCAGCTCAGGTTGTTCGTATCTCCCTTGCCCAGCAGGGCCCTTCCATGAACCCTTCCATGTATTCCTGGCCATCGTATTTTTCTCTCAGGAAGGCATCTACCTTTCATTTCACCGTGCCTTGCTATAGCTGTGATATTTTGGCTCATGTGTTGTGGCTTGACTTTCACAATGACAAAAACATGGATAATCTTCAACACGATGACTGATGGCTGTTAGATGCCTCTCTCAGTATTGCTAACCCCAGGGACTGGAGCCCTCAGGTTTCTGCCTCTCCCTTAGTGCTTTAGCCTAGTATCTGGAGCTAGGTGCACACCCTGAGCTGCTCATCTGAAGCTGTCTTGCTGAGAGCTCTGCTATCATCTCATATCCCACCCACCTTCAGCCGGCATCTGGCTTCCTGAAGCCAGACATGCTTCCCTCGGCAGCCGTCTTTGTCCTCTGTGAGTTGATTATCAGCTGCCGGTCCACTTTTGTCCTTTTTCTATCCTGTTACTTTCTGCTTCCCAGATGTCCCTTTATGTTTCTCCACTCTCGGAGTGTCCCTGCATCACATGTACTGCCCATGGAAGGACCATGGCTCTCTTCCTAGTCTTTCTCTACCTATTCAAGGCTCCCTGCCCCAGGTTTCCTTCTGCCTGTGTATGGCTCATCTTCACATATTCTCACCAACACAGGTCCCTTGCCACCATGGCATTTAGAGAGTGCCTTCCAGTTGCTTCTCTGCACAGACCCACCATCTTCTCTCTGTCTTAAGACTTTTACTCAAGGTTTTTGAACAGCCGCTGTGAGACAGGGCTTGGATCACAGGGAGGTTCCAAGGTAGAGGATGGGCAAACTGCCCATGGACTCTTGCTGCCCACAATGGGAATGTTCTTGGCTCCAGAAATCTCCCCAGAGGACAGTGCATTTCCAGATTCTGGAAGACTCTCCTGCCCCTCCAGGGTCCTAGTCTGTTGACACAAGGAGCTGTGCTCCTCCATGCCCCGCTGAGCCAACACAGTGTGAGGCTCCATGCCTGCTCTCTCCATGTGTTTCAGATTTTTCTTTGGATTTATGCCCTTTCTGCTTAAACCTCAGACTTGGGACTCTTTACCTGAGAATGTCATCCAGATGTAGTCCAGTTCTTGCAACTGTCCACTCCCAGCTTTGGGTTTTCCTACAGACTCCCAAGCCCAACATGTCTATGTGTGGAAGTCTGGGAACTGGATCCTGTCCCCCTCACTGAGCACAACTCCCAGGGCTGATGGAAGCACTCTGTGACTTTTTCAGACAGGCCTAGTCTTTTCTCTTTAAAGAATATTTTGGTTTGTGGGAAAGCAAAATCTGACATGAAAGGGATTTGGGGTGGGAATCCTCATAATGACACCACTTAACCTAGGGCAATTGTTGTTACCACTTTTTCATCTTCTTTCCAGACTTCTCTGGGGCTTCAATCTAGCCAACAAGAGAACAATGGTCCTGAGAAATGAGAGTTCCTCAGAACCTGAAGGGACATGTAATTTAATTCCAAGAGCTCTTTCCCTCTCTCGAACAGAGCAAGTGTCAATCTCACAGGTGCATGTAGGTCCAAGGATCCCTTCTGTGAGTATAGCTATGAAGTCTTCAGGCCAATAACTTCCTTAAACAGCATTCTGCTATGAGCCCTGTGAGTTGGACCAAAGATTAAACACAATACTAACTCTTTGTGGCCTGTGGTCTGTGGCTTGCGGTCTGTGGCAGGACTTTTCTAGGCAGTGAACTTTTCATTTCTCATCTTGTCCTGGGCAGTGCAGGCCATGGGCTGGCTGAGTGAGGAGGTAAGCATCACCTTTGAGAAGGCATGTGTGGTCCTGGCAAACCTTGCCTTACTCCTCAGAGGACACCCAGAGTCTCGGTGGGAACTGTTCTTTCCTGTCTTCTACCCTCAGTGTCTGTCAGTGAGGGTGGCTGTTTCTTCCTCCTCTGTCACTCTCTCTTACAATACCAGCAACATCAGTGAGCATGGGGTTACCTCTGTGGAGGTGGTGGTGGAATGATAATGACAGCTTCTTAGAGGCAACATGGTATGCAGCCCAGGCTGGCCTTGAACTCTTGCCTCTACTTTCTTAATGCTGGGATTACAGATATGTACCTCCATGTCCAGTTCTGTATGTATTTTCTTGCCTAAGTTTTACTACACCTAAGGCAGTATAGAGAGACAAGGAAAATGCAAGCACATTGGGAAAAGAAAAGAGGCCCCTTGCTCTGGAATCCGATTTTTGTTTGATTACAACTGACAAAATCAATAGAGACTTGCCTACATGTAGTTAGTTTCCCCCAAAGACTTCTTAAACAAGAGTGTTAAAAACAACAACAAAACCCCAAACAACTAACCCAAAACTCTACCATGGACCAGCTTGCTTAAAACTGAAATGGATGTAAGCAATTTTTGGATTTGATAACATCAGTTATTAAACATCAGTTATTATTCCTCTTGCCTCACAATTTCATTTATAACAGGATATTATTTAAAAAAAAAAAAAAAGAAAATAAGTTAACCAGCTCAGTATTTTTTTTACCTAAGTTTTAAACTTTTTAAAATCTTTGAACCTGATTGTAAATTACATCCTTTAAGCAATATCACCTTAAAAGCCACAAATCATTTCTACATCCTCTGTGTGTGTGTGTGTGTGTGTGTGTGTGTGTGTGTGTGTGTGTGTGTGTAAGCTTTAGAGAGTATTAGTTGGTGTTTGGAGACATGATCTCATGTAACCCAGATTGGCCTTGAACTTCCTATGTAGCACAGGTTAACTTTGAACTGGTCTTCCTGACCCCTTCCACCTGCCAAGTCCTGGGATTATTGCCATGTGCCACCAACCATTCAGGGACATTTTTCTTTCAAGTCTTGCACTTAAAATATCTCAAGCCTCTCTCTCCCTTTTTCCCTCCCTTCCTATTTCTCTTACTCCATCTCTCATCTTAACCCAGCTCAGTCTCATGCTGACTTGTCCTGAAGTTCTTTCCTGCATTACAAAGCTGACCACGCCATAATGGAGGTCCCTAACAGGGTCATCCCTCAGTGAGCTGCAGCTGATGGGGCAGGTATTACTCACTTTGTGTCACAGATAGGAAATCTGGGACTCAGTCCCTAGACCCACAGCTCTAAGCTTGGTTCAGAGTATGATCTCACCTCTGATTCTCAGAACCAGGTTCACATCCACTGTCAACTCACTTTAGTGTCTCTCAGCAAACATGTAGAGGTGTTTCTTGCTCTCAACTCCATTGCCTTGACTTTCCCTTAAGACCAATTTTCCTGGCCAATTCCTGTTTTCCACCCTGAATTCTCATGAAGTGCTCTGCTAACCCCCAAACTTGGCAGTCCTTCTACTGGCTGCGCCATTATTAGCTGTGTTTCTATAGACAAGCTCCATGAATATTCTCTTTGTGATGTGTGAGGACACACATCACCACCGGCAGGATCCTTGAAGACCTTATTTATTAATAGACACAGAGGGTACCTCATGGTCTACATTGAACTTCAGATTTCACCCAGAAATTCCTTCTGGATCAAAGGCCCCCAAAGGGAGTTCTAACATCTCAGCAGCACAGAGAGGGAATTCTGGAGGGATTCAGAGATATAGAGGAAGAAAGTGGGACCATCAGACTTAGGTCTGAGCCCATGTGCATTCCCAGAGCTAGGTATATGCCTATGGAAGTGTCTCCCCACCCACCACAGAGTGGCAGGTAATAAAAGCCTGTGGTCTCAGGACTCAGGAGGCAAACCAGCCACACACACACACACACACACCAAGCTTATTACAGGTTGTATTAGATGACCAAACATTAACAGCCCCAGAGGAAGCTAATCTACAGTAAAAAGAAAAAAAAAAAGACACAAGAAAGGGGCTGAAGAGACAGCTCAGTGGCCAAGAGGACTGCTCTTCCAGAGGACCCAAGTTTGATCCACATGGCAGCTCAAAATTGTCTGTAGCTCTAGTTCCAAGGGATCTGGTACCCTTTTCTGGCCTTTTAGAATACTACATATATGTAATACACAGACATGCATGCAAGAAAAATAGCCCTACATTTAAAGTAAAAGTGAATCTTTTTTAATTTTTTTTTTTTAAACAAAAGACGCAATAGAACTCAGTACAGTGCCTGAGTTGATATGCTGATGGGAACATGCTAATGGGAACCAGAAACCAGTCAGATTAAGGATACTTGGACAGCCCAACCCTGGCTGGGACTGGGTAGAACTGCAGGCATCACCAGGAGCTGTGCTTTGGGACCACATCCCTGAGTGAAGACAGGCATACTCCTTTAGCTCAGGGTACCCTTGGCAGGTCCTGGATGAGGAACAGGAAGCACTCAGGGCGTGGAGGTCAAGGCAGGAACTTTGGGGCAAACATCACAGAGGTTCATTCAGATTCATTCAGCCTCTGGAACATGATTGTCCACAGCACAAATGATGGACAGCAGCTTTCTGGGAAGCCACGTGAGAAAGGGAACCTGGATGCTCAGGCTACACACATACACAGCCCAGGCTTCCTCCCTGGCCGTGACCTCTGACTTGATCTTATCAGGATTCCACTTTCCTCCTGAGATTTATTCAGGACAGGAAGCATTGCCAGCTCATCTGGGGAGGGGGGAGATCTATGGATGGGTTGTTACACAATTTAATGCTGCCCCTTTCCCTAATTTCATAGGTATGACTCTTGGGGATGTGAAGAAGGGGGAAATATATTGCCGTCATCAGGTATCCAATCCTGTCCCTGAACCAGGTGCCTTGTATAGGGTCTTACTTAACCCTCTGGCCAGCCTCCAAGGAAGACATAATCCTTGCCTTACAGAAAAACAGATGGGCTTTTGGCTTTCACAGCCAGAGATGATAATTAGGTAGCACCCAGGACTCAGTGCAAACCTACCACCTGGCCAGGCTGGTGTGCTTTTCAACTGGAGAGTAGCTCTGGATGCCCATAAAGAATGGCCATGACAAGACAGTTTAAAGTCAGAGGCAACCATTAAGACTTTCAGGTCCCCCTCCTAGTTGGGGTTCTCCCCAGATCAAAGGGCCCAACTGTTTCTAATCAATCAAAAACTATTTAGTTACATTGCAGTCAACTTCCCCTGGTCTCTACCATAAGGTTCCGGATGACAGGGTTTAGGGAGGGTCTGACCACTAAGTTTCAGAAGTGATGGGTCCAATGTCTATCCAGGCCAGGCATCCCCTCCCTAAACCATTGCCCAGGGCAGGAGAGAGGATGACAGCTCCTTTCCCTTGAGCATCTCAGGGCAAGCTGGGCAGGTGAGGCTACCTTATCTCCCCACACTTGGGTGTAGTTGTTGGTTCCTTGAGACATTGTATCAGAGCGACAAGCCTGGTAGTATCTTCCAGTTTACATGGTCCCTCCTTAACAGCAGACCATGCAGATAGTGCTATCTGAAACTCTAGTACAGGTTTCAGCAGATCTGAGCAACACCCCAGATTTGGGGGCAGGTCACGTGAAAGGGATCTCCACAGTTTTTTTTTTTTTTTTTTTTTTTTGCTTATCACTCATATTAGGTGAGTGGTCAAGGCAAAAAATACAACTGAGAGACATAGACCATCTAAGACTCAACAGAAACAGCATAGCTCACTCAACCCCTCTTCTCTCTGTGTGTGTATCTGTGTGTCTGTTTGTGTGTGTGTGTGGTTCCTACTCTGAGTCTTTGGCTGCCTCACTCCCCCTCTTCAAGATAAACTCTACCCTATGTGTGGTAGATCTGTCATAGCCCAAGTCTCTGAAAGGTCAGTAAAGAACAAGTCCTGATTAGAAGCCCTTCTAGACATTCAAGCTAACCAGGAGGCAATGTCAGTCCTGTTCAGGAGAGCTAGGCAGACTGTCACGATGCACAAGGAGTCCCTGCCTAGGCTCTTTGGAGACTGACCTGCATCTCCATCTCCCGCTCTAAAGGGACAAAACCTTCTTGGGGCTTCATTTGATTCCTTCAGGAGTTTAGTAAGTGCTGGCCAAGGGCACCACTTTGGTATAGCCAACAGGGAGATGGAGGGCATCTTCCTATTGCCCAGAAGGCAGATTTGGTCTCAAGCAGTGGGAGACTTCGATAGTTAGATCTAGGGTCGTTGACTACACATCCAGCAGGGCAATTGATAGCAATCAACTGGCAATACCATCAATTCTCACACTTGGAAATACCCCACACCACACACTCACAAAGCACAGGCTTTAGGATGTACCAGTCATGACCAGGACAGGCCACATGTGGATTCTCTCTGGCAGTACTAGATAGACATTATCTATCCTGGATGCTGGCTTGGCTGGCTCTCAGTGGTCCCTAGTCTCTGCATGCAGGTTGGTAAAGCTCATGAGTATTCTTAACTGTGCCATCCCTAGTCAGGAGCCCTGGTACAGACTAAAGCACCTCTTCCAGGCACCAGGTAGAAGATCCCAAGCCAACCTCTCTAGGCATCCAATGCCCACCAGCCAGCCTCCCTGGGACCTTAGTTCCCAAACTCTTCATCTTCTTGGCATGCCTCCCTGGCCATCTGCTTCTGGCCAGTCCCCACCACCACCACCACTGTACTCTCTCACCTTCAAGGCACAGGAGGTCAAGTACCTGCCATCTTCTGCTTGGCATGGGTCTGGCAGGGAGTGGGAAACCCAAGCAGGCATCTGGTTCTGAAGCATCGTGGCAGCTCTCCAGCTGGATGGTAAGATCAGGAACTTATACTCTGACTCAGAGCTCCACCCTACTGGCCGCCCCTGGGCAGTGACTGGGAGGGGTTAAGGAGTGTAGAAATTTGTGCTGCCTTGGCTAGGTCTCAGGTCCAGAGGAATCACACAGGTCTTCAGGTCTTGAAAATGCAAAATCAAGTCAGGGCTCTGGTCACTGGGGTCAGAATGACCAGGTTATGGACATAGAATGGTAGGAAGCACATTCTGGGCTTTTGGAATGTTTCTACCAAGATATAAAGCCCTATCTCTCCAGTTCATGCAGATGCATGCATAGTTGCTCTTCTGGGAGGTGAATAGATGCTCTACCTCAGGACCATTGCTTGATGTTCTGGGAGCTGTGAATGGAGACTCTCAAGATACAGGGACCAAAATTCAGATCCTTACATTAGAGGACCTGAAGAAAGAAAACACTTGGCCCAGCCATGCTGAGAAGAGGGTCCAGGGCCATGACCTCTACCAGCCTTCTGGGTGCCCTGTGAAGAGAGAGCACCAGCCCCTGATAGTCTCTACTACACAGCTTGGAGGATGCATTGCCCCGCCTCGATGATTCTTATCTCTGCCTGTGTTGGCTCACCTCTGGCTTGCCCAAATTCACACTGGGAGTTTCCTGTCTGGGCTCTTGCCGGAGGCTCAACAACCGGCTTTTCTGGCCCACAGATAGGATATATTTTAGAACTACAAGTGAGACCTGAACACAGAAACATGTAGAAGGTGGTCAGCAGTATCTTTTTGGTTGCCTGGCTCCCCGGAAAGGATAGGTTCTTTATTTAGCTTGATGTCCTTGAAGCTTCTCTTGCCACCATCATGAACACAAATACAATTCCTACATCCTTTAATAGAATTCCAAATTCAACTAAGTTCATGCACCTAGTGAGCACTTACTGTATACCTGATACTAAACAGAGAAATCCCAGGCTTAAAGTCTCAGACAGCCCAGCTGGGAAGCCAAATACTTCTAACCCTTGAGCAGTTCTAAGGTCTAGGGCCCCTTAGTGTGGCAAGGGTCTAGAAGAATCAACATAAATCCTTCAGGTCTGGGAAGCTCTGTGGTTCTCAGTTGTAACATACAACTAGTAACTGAAGAACACAGGGATGGAAGAAGGATTCTAGCCGGGAAAGGACAGTGTGGTTCCAAGAAGGCTTCATGGAGGAGACGACATCTGACGTGGGCTTTATAGAGTAAGATTTCAACAGCTATGATGGGAGGGAAAGGCACCCTAGGAGGCAGGAACAGAGGGAACAAGGGCAGGTTTGCTTAGGAATGCAAATGACCTCTATGAGTTATGTGGTCTCTCCCACATATTATCTCATATAGGAGGACAGAAGAGATGGGACATGGGAGGATGTAGAAGCTGGGAAGGACAAACCTGGAAAGTAGGGCCTGTCACCTCCTTCTCTGCTCCCCCAAGCCAGTTCTTAGTTGAATGACAGCATTCTATAAACCATGGCCCTAGAATGGCCTCTCAAAGGTCACATCTTATATTTAGACTTATTCTCTAGGCCAAAGAGAACCATCGATGGTTTCCGAGCAGGAGAACAACATGATCGGAGTTGGACTTTTAAAAGAGAAGGTTGATTGATGTTGAAGCAGAAAATTGATTGGGAAATGATGTAGGAAGCTCTTAGGAGAGGGAAATGGCCTGAGATATCAGAAAATAAAGGCCAGGAAATGAATCAGGAGGAGCTGTAGCAATCTGAGCATTGCCTGGCCCTTTCCAGGAAGGTCTGATGAGGGCTGACCCACCACGTCGTTTAGCATTTGGTCCTCTTCTGGCTACAGAAGCTCATTTAAATATTCCATCCCTCGTACACCCCAGCAGCCCACCCATTCTGCCAATTTCCTCATCATCTTCCAGCATCTCAACAGAGGAGCCTTTACCTTCAGTTGGGTTAAATTGGTTGAATAGAAGTGGCGAGTTTCTTGCTTTATGCTCTTCCTGGCACTTCTGACCTGGGTGGGGCCTACAACCTCTCCCTGCATGGACCCATGGATAGATGTGTAAGAAGTCACTGTTGGCTGCTGTGTGCATGCTTCTGAACTGAGTAGCCAGGAAGGTTCTAGAGGGAGACAAGAAGTCATCATAGAGGGGAGGGGTCAAGGTGGAACTGAATTGAATGGTCAGTTGTCCCTGCTGAGGACTCACCTTTGCTCCTCGTGTGACTTCAGGGGCCTGTCCTTGCCTTCCCATCTTTTCTAATGTCACCTGCATCCCAGGCTGAAGCTTGGTGACTGATCATCAGCCTCTCTCCTTTTCAAATGCATCTACTATCTCCCTCCTTGATGACAACCTCTGAAATCCAGTACCTTCCATAACGGAAGCTGAGCCCAGGGGCATCTCTCTGTGCATATGGAATTTTATGTACAGTAAAAGACACATTTCGCATTCATTATTGGGGAAGGCCTTTTTCACTCATTAGAGGAAAGTTAGAGCCCAACTTCCTAAAGACACAAAAATAACTCCCAGAGAGGTGAACTAGCTAACTGTTAAACTTATAGATGATTTAAAATATACTCTTATAATATTGAGGTGAAGAGGATCTTTCAAAGCAAGGTTCAAAATCTTGAAGCAAATAGGGAAATCATACCTAACTTGATGGGTGGAAATGAAAAACTTCAATAAAGAAAAATATGCTGTTAGCGCTGGTCTACCCTTAGCATTCACCTCTAGTTTCCTCTTCCCAATAAATATTTTAAATACTAACATTGAAGAGGAGAACCTTGTTCTGCTGACACTAAGATAAATTACAAAGCCATGCTAATATAAACAGCATGTTGTTGAACCAAGAATAGGATCAATGGAAACAAAATAAAAAGATCGGGGGAAAAAATCCTTGTCTTTTGTTGCTGTTGTTTTTTTTTTTTTTTTTTTTTTGTATCTTAGAACTCTCTATGTAGACCAGTCTGGCCTTTAATTCACAGAGATTCTCCTGCCTCTGCCTCCCAAGTGCTAGTATTAAAGACTACCATGCCACCATGTCCAGCAAAAACCTTTGTCATTTAAGGGAGCTTAATATATGATAAAAGTGTCACCACCAAGGAATGGCTCGGTGGTTAAGAAGATGTACTATACTTGCAGAGGACCCAAGTTTGGTTCCCAGTACCCACGTCAGGCAGTTTAAAACCACCTAAAATTCCATTTTAAGGGTCCTTCACTTTTTTTCTGGGCACCTGTACAAACCCACACATAGATATATACATATACACATCATTTTTAATTAAAAAAATATAAAAGGCCAAGCATGGCAGCACATACCTATTGTCTCAGCATTGGAAGATGCACACATGTGTATGTCACACACAAATACACAAACACACACACACATACACACACACACACACACACACACACACGGCAATGCAGATCAACAAGGGAAGCACAAACTTTCTAACAGATGATATACAAACATGGTGGGCTACACAGAAATGAATAAGAGTACTTCACTTAGAACTACATAAAAAGATGGGCCATGCATAAGCTTGACAAACGAAACATCAAGTAGCAAACTAATTGAAGACAGTATATGTGTTCTAGCAACAGAAAAGAATGTCTTACTTCCTTTCTTCAGTGCTGGGGATTAAACACTGGGCCTCAAACATGTTATGCGTGTGTTTGAACAGTGAGATATATGCCTCTAGACCCTGGAGAAGAATTAGCAAACACTGCAAAATCATTAGTCATAAAGCAAAAGCATTCCCAAATTAGACTGAATAAGATTTGAATATTCTAAGCCAGGCATGGTACTTAGACTTTGTAATCTTACCACTTGGAAGGTGAAGGCAGGGGGATCAGGAGTCTAGAGTCATCCTTAGACACAGATGACATTCAAGGCTTGCCTGGACTACATGAGACACAAAAAACAAAAGTAAACAACAAAGAAGAAAAGGATTAAACATTTTCATGCAGTAGGAAATGTTAGCTGACAGAATATATTTGCAATGCATTTGCAAATCACCAGATTATTAATATCTAATATACAAAGAGAAATTTCACAATAAAAGGATGGCCATGATGAAGCTGGAGGGATCTTGGTAGTTAAGCACTTGCTGTTCTCATTACCTATGTTGGGCAATTCACAACTTTCAGGGATCTGTCACCACCTTCTATCTTCTGAGAACACCCACACCCCTCTCTCTTCCTCCCTCCCTCTGTCCCCCTCTTCCTCTTCCTCTTCCTCTTCCTCCCCTCCCTCTCTCTCTTCCTCCCTCTCTCTCTCACACACATACACACAAATAAAAACAAATCTTTAAAAATAAGATGTCAACATAAAAAAATTCAAAGACTTGAATCTGGGACTTTCAGAAGGAGAAACCCCAAAAGTGGGCAGGCATTGGAAGAGATGCTCAAAATCATGGATATTTGCTTTGGAAATCAATAGGAAAGAAATCAACAGTTTAATAGTGGTAAAGGCAAAAATGACTTCCTATGCAGAGTGAGATAACATAGCACCCTCACTTAAGTGCTGTATTAAAAAGATGATACATTGAAGAGAGGATCAACACAGACGGAAAACAAAGAAATAGGAAGGAAAAGAACAGTGAGGTTTCACAATGGCTTTTAATTGGAAAACCATGCGACAGTTGAATGATGACCAATGTTGGTAGCAATGTGGAGACAGAGGTATCATTGTGTCACCCTATGGAAGAGGAGACTGATACTATCATTGACATGGCACTGTTAGTCAAGTGAATGCTGGTATAGCAATGTTGGTTCCAATATACAATCATAGGGAGATGTGCCTCACAGTCGTATCTGTAACCCTGGATCCAGTCTCCAGTGTTACAAAGAGCAAAAATAGGAGCTGGAGAGATGGCTCAGCATGTAAGAGCACTTCTCGCTCTGGAAGTGGATCTAGGTTCAGTTCCCAGCACTCCCATGGGACTTTACAATCACCTAGAACTCCAGCTCCCAGGGATCTGATGCTTTACACACACACGCACACACACACACACACACTCCCACGCAAAAGAAAATGAGTAAGTTTGGTCAAAT